GAAGCTTGTCCGCCAGGACTCAGGCGTCGATATCACAAAGCCGGGTCAGGGCAAACCGCTTCCAGTCACCCTTCTCTCAGGCTTCTTGGTAAGTCCTGATCAACATATGTGAGCGATCGTGACATGTGTCTAACAACTGGATTACAGGGCAGCGGAAAAACGACACTTCTACAGCACATCCTCAAGAGCGACCATGGCCTTCGCATTGCGGTCATCGTCAACGATATCGGAGCGTAAGTTAATTGCTATCTACTCTATGTATTAGTACTAACCAGCTGCCCCGAACAGTGTCAACGTCGACGCATCCCTCATCAAAAAGAGCCACCGCCTTACAAAGACCGAAGAAAAGGTCATCGCCCTACAGAATGGCTGCATCTGCTGTACTCTCAGAGGAGACCTTCTAGAAGAGCTCGTTAACTTGTCCGAGCTCCACGAGTTCGACTACGTGATTATCGAGAGCAGTGGTATCAGCGAGCCCGAACAAGTCGCCGAGACCTTTGATGCCCGGCTGGCAGAGCAGATGGCTACGATGGGCGAAGGACCCGAAGGATTGGATGAAGATACCATGAAGTTGCTCAAGAGGCTGTGAGTCCCATACCCTCGGAGATTTTGTGGCCGCGATCTTACTGACGAATGCTACTCTTCAGGGCTGATGCTGGCGGAGTTGACAAGTTCGCTCGCCTTGATACGACTGTCACTGTCATCGATGCCTTTACGATCTTCAACGACTTTCACACTAGCGATCTGCTTTCTTCAAGACGGGACGACGTCGTGCCGGAGGACGAAAGGACGGTGTCTGACCTGATGGTTGACCAGATTGAGTTTGCAGATGTGATCGTCCTCAACAAGATTGATATGGTATTGAAGATTCTATGAGATACACTACCTTCATGGTCAGGATGTAATTGCTGACTGCGAGCAGGTTACCAAAGATGATCGCGCCCGCGTGTTGGATTTGATCAAGAAGCTCAACCCACGAGCCAAGATCCTGGAATCCAGCTACAGCAAGATCGACGTCAAAGAGATCGTCAACACCAACACATTCGATCTCAAGGTCGCTCAGTCTGGTGTTGGCTGGCTGCAAGATCTGCACGCCATGACAGTCCGCGAGGTAAGATTCCATCTGAAGCTATCCACTTATACATCGCAAGATGAAATATGCTGACACTCGATGCTACAGGTCAATGGGCGTAAGGCAGTCACACCAAAGCCAGAGACGGAGGAGTACAACGTCCGCAACTTCATCTACACAAGGACGCGGCCATTCCATCCCAGACGACTCTGGTCTCTACTGTACGACAAGTTCATTTTGCAAATGGAGGAGCCTGAAGGCGATGAAGACGAAGATGCTATGGACGAAGATGATGACGCTAACATGAGCGGCGAGGAGGCCGATGAGAAGGAGGATGAGGAATGGGAAGATGATGACTCAGAAGCGGACGAAGCTGATGATGAGGATGCTGACATGGAAGATCCCCTCGAGCCTCCCTCTAACGAAGTCATCCTCGCCAACAAAACCGCCAACCCCCTCTTCAACCGGCTCTTCCGCTCGAAAGGAGAGTTCTTCCTCGCGACGCGACCGCACAGGGCAGGAGACTGGTCTCAAGCGGGCGCGATGCTTACGATGACCGGCGGTCGCCCGTGGTTCTGCACGCTTGACCCTGGTGACTACCTCACCGGCGACAGCGAAGTGGACGCCCTTGTCACGCACGACATCAAGAAGGGCGGCGAGTGGGGTGACCGCCGCCAGGAAATGGTGTTCATCGGGGAGAAACTGGACATCAAGGGGTTGGAGGCTGCGCTGGATGCGTGTTTGCTTAATGATGAGGAATGGAGGAAGTGGCAGAAGGTGATGAGGAATAAGAAATGGGACGATGAGAAGAAGAGGGATAAGTTACAAGACTTGTTTGATGATGGGTTCCCGGACTGGACAGAGGACGGGGAGGATCATGAGGGACACGATCATGCCTGATGGTGGATTCAAATTGGTTCGAGGAAGAGATAGACAACACAAAGTAAAAGTTATAGGTTTGCTTCAGTATGAGTTATCAAGTGAGATGGTAGTTACGACTATCCACGTGCATGCTTACAAACCTACGATATTTGAAGAGTTCGACTGAGGCGACGACGGCCGGGGAAAGCAGAGTGGGAAAGTGCGCTATCTGGAAGATCGCGTACGCACGGCGGGTTGTCAAACTACGGAGCCTTCTGTCAGCTCATCTGTCAGCAATGGCTCTGTTGATTGAAAGCAATATCAATAGTATAGCCTCGAGACAGCAGATTCTTGGCTAGAAGCTGGCAACGCCTAGTGCGTAGTAAATGAAGTAGATTGTCACCGAGAGTGATGAGACGAGCTAAAATCTGGGCGTCGCAGCACATGGCTTACGTGATTAATCAAATAGATTGGGCGAGTAAGGAAGCCGGCGGGTTGAAGATTTTCGCGATAACTTGCTGCTAGAAATCGCGACATACCAGCACTCATCCGCTTGGCAGGAGAATATACGAGAGACAGCGAGATCCTTTTGGGTCTTTCCATACAACGCAGGTCTTGGTACGGTCTCATCGGGTGCTCACGTCAACTTTCGAGTCGCCAACTTCGGCTCATGGGGGCGGGACAATCAGGCCAGCAGACCCACCGTGCTACACTGCCCGGAAGCCGATCGTTGGCGTCAATGAAGTTGAGACAACCGTCGCAAGTCAGTACCGCGCCCTCGGAGCTGATAGTGGGATCGTCAGTCCAACTTACTGCCCAGTCTCGGGCACCGCTCCGTACGGTCGCATCGCGGAAAGCACGCACGGCACGTTGGGGGCGAACCGATGCTACTGCTAGGTTAGGTGAGTGAATCGAGTTGCTGCGATCATCATTACTTAATTCGTCCCGTCAACGCTGATATTGACAGGGAAGTGCAGAAGTAGCCCAATAAACCAGTGTCGGTGGATGCCGAAGAATTTGTTGCGAAATATCAGGGCGCAATCGTCCACAACGACGATCTTGTGTGTAGACGGAGCAGAATCCGAGTATTTCGGGGGCGTCGACAGATTCGATCGAATAGGGAATCCCACCGGACGGCTCAGCCATGGAGCCTGATATTAGACATAAATCGACTATGGAGACGACTTTATTTTTCTCTGACGGGCATGGCCCCCCTTTCCGATGGAGACTGGCTTGGACAAGAGGAGAAACAGGAGAAGCATGACCGGAGGGAGCGGTTCTTCTTGGTCTGACTAAGAAATCTCGGCGGAGTTGCATGCCTGATTCAACTGGCATTTGGCTTCTGGAACGTCCGGACCAGCGCCGCTAGACTCGCTGGATTGGTTCTTAGCGAGTGCTATTATGATATCTCGGCAGGGCGGCACTTAACGATCGCACTTTATTTCCACTTTAGTTGTGAAGCGCTGGGTTCGACTAGTAAGCCGTGATAACAACATTTGTCGGGGTTGATGCTGGTCTGGCCTGGCCTCTCTCCTTGGCCATCACACCGCAGCAAGAGAGGAGAAACTGCAAAACTTCAGTCAAGCTCCAGGTTGATCCAAGTCGTCCACTCGGCTTTGCGTGCCGAGTTTCTGTTAACGACTGCTTTGCGACTGGGAGCTGCCGCCAAAGAATTGAAAATGCACCCAAGCGCCGTCCTCCTTTTCTTCTTCTTGGTGGGGGGCTTTTCGTCCCGTGTAAATTGATCTGCGACAGGGAATAGCCGCCAGCTGGAGGTTTTCTTCCTCGCTGCGCGCCCCTGGACCCAGGTTTCAGGTGAATCCCACCACGGCCGCGTCGATCAGGAACCAGAACTGCCAAAACAGAGTTCAGAGTGGCATGACCTTTCTCGCGGGATCGCTCTTGAGACGAAAGCTACGCATATTGACTCTGGGGAAACGCTCGTCTATGATACTCTTCTCGCGGGCTCAAATGTTTTTGTAATGGCTTTGTAAAGACTTTGAATTCCGGGATGCGCGGAACTGGCCATACGGCATAGTTTCGAGTATTCGCCAGGTGAAGAAAGTCCAGAACTATCAAGCCGAGAGCACAGAGTACCAACAAACGGGTATTGACAGGCAAACCGGGCTTGTCGACCGAAATTGACAGCACTAAATTCGCCAACGGCCAAACCCCGACAAGCCTTTCACGCCGTTACGGGCATGCAGGCGTAGAAAGCCGCCAGCGGCTAGGACGAATAAGGGCGACCACTGTGGATGTAGAACAATCTACAAGCGACCGATTCGGGGCTTCGACCAGCTCGGGCCAGGTTCACCTACAAGGGTATGTGCTGCAAGCGAGCTGTGAGTTTAGATGAACAGGAGCAGAAGGGGAATCGGCGCATGAGCCAAGCTTGGCGACTGTATTTCCACAGATTTTGACAACGTGGGCGGCTTGTGAGCAGCCCAGGGGTCAATGTCGTCAATCGTACTCTAGTTGCGACCCCAATCCAGGGGTGTTCGCCGGCGTCGACGACCGTGTTTGGTGGGAAATGGATCCCGCGTACATGTTGCTCCAATGTTTCAAACGAAGAGCACTTCGACCAAATCGTCACTGAAGCCTACTCCTATCGTGTGATCCTGGTTGGGCGAGGCAACAAGGTCGAGCTCCTTTGGCCATCCTTGCCCTTTCACCACCCCTTTCCGCGTCCATGATGCCTGGATTTTTGTCCAGATGAGGGTAGTCTGCCATGATGTGGGGAGAAATCTCATCAGCAATGTGGGTGGGATGATGGATCATGGCGGCTGACAGTCTTTGGTTCCCATCATCTTAGTGCGCTAGGGGTGGTGAGATATCTTCGATATAAGACAACCATTTCTTCTCACCATTTTCATCTTTTCTCCATTCTCTATTCATTCTCAACCATCGCTGTGTCTTTTGTCATTGTACAAACCACTTTCTTTCTTTTTTGAAACTTCACTTTCATTCATTCCCTGGTGGAAAATCAACCTCTTCATTTTCTTCCTGTCCAATCTTTCCAACCACCCGGTCTTCACCAAACCAAACCAACCCACAACACAAAATCAAGATGCGCTCCTTCGCCTTCCTCGCTGCCGCGGCCGTCGTGCCCCAGGCTATGGCCCACTACGTCTTCCCTACTCTCATCGTCAACGGTGAGCAGACCGAACGCTACCAGTACGTCCGCGAGGCCAAGAATTCCAACTCTCCCGTCACCGACGTCACCTCCGACGGCATCGTCTGCAACATCGGGGGCAACGACGACGATGTCCTCGCAAAGACCCAGACCAAGGCCGTCAACGCCGGTGATGAGGTTGGCTTCATCGTCGAGAACGACATGGGCCACCCTGGTCCCCTCGCCGTCTACCTCTCCAAGGCCCCCTCCGGTGTCGCCTCCTACAAGGGTGACGGCGACTGGTTCAAGGTCTACGAGCTGTCCACCTCCAACATCACCGAGGCTGGTCTCCAGTGGGCCACCTACGTCAACAACGCCGGTATTCACAACTTCACCTTCACTCTCCCCAAGGAAGTCCCCACCGGCGAGTACCTGATGCGCGCTGAGCACATTGGCCTCCACGGCGCCGGCACCAAGGGTGGTGCCCAGTTCTACATCGCTTGCGCTCAGATCTCCGTCACCGGTACCTCCACCGAGACCCCCTCGCCCGTCGTCAAGTTCCCCGGCGTCTACACCGGCGAGGAGCCCGGTCTGTTGATCAACATCTACTACCCCGCCCCCAAGAACTACACCGTCCCCGGTGGCCCCGTTGCCTTCTCCGGATGCGAGGACCACACTGCCAACCTTCTCGGCCAGACCTCCGACGGTGACTGCACTGGCTCCGATGGTGCCACCACTCCCACCACCCCCACTACTCCTACCACCCCTTCCACTTCCGCCGCTCCCTCTGCAGGCATCCCCGACTACAACGGCGGCAACAGCACCAGCCCCGCTGAGCCCTCTGCTGCTCCTACCGCTGCCGCTGGCGAGGGTGACGACTGCGAGAAGTCTGCTGCTCGCCGCCGCGTCCGCTCCATGCGCCGCAAGCTTGCCCGTGCTGCTTCTTTCTAAAGCAGTAAAGAGAGTCGAGAGAGAGAAGTTGGGAAAGTTATTGGACAAAATCCCCTGAGCTATGCTATCACCACTTGGTATTAGCAGTGCTCGACACATTATTCTTGTATATACATTTGACTTAAGACACTGGATGTAAATGCGATTAGATATCGGGCGATCCTTTGTACAAAGGCGTCCTCATGTTTGAAATATGAGAATCATTCACATGAAACCTTCACTTCCCATCCTTAGGTCCTGTGAACTGCCCACAGCTGACTTTGGCAATGAATGTGTTCAAGGAGTTGGCCATAGTACAACATTTGACCTGGTTAAAAGTTCTGTCACACAACTGAGCCAGGCAACCACCTGCTGCCAATGATTCCCCTTTTTGTTTGAAGGAAAAAAAAAAAAACAAAAAAGAAATGACTGATCTAGGTTCAGATGCTACAGCTCACCATCTCACAGTCTTCATCTTCATGGGCGTTAGTCAAGAGGTCAGGCTTTGATCGGGTGTAACTTGGAGGAAAGCTTGGAGAAAAGTATCGGATGACTGACTGATACCAGCTTGAGCCTGCGTCTTGACGCTTGTGGAACCCCTTGAAGCCGGTGTCTCCAAGCCATGATGGGGCTATACTTGAAGACTCAATCAACATTCTCGCAATTGAGCACATGATCTTCGTTGTGTAATGCTTTGAGCAAAGTGTCTCAATCTATCATGTAACTTTCCGCACATTTCCCTCTGACAGGCGTATGAGTATCTGACCGAAAACCGGGCCTTTTCGTGGCTTAGTTTAGGTGGCATTTCGTGTCACTCACAACTCACTTCGTAACCCCCGAGGCCGGTCCTAGTTCGTGGCACCATAAGATGTTGCTATCACCTCTTCCAATCGCTTGTAAATACTTGGAATGCATTCAATCTTCTTGGAGCGGTTGCGGGAACTAACATGAACATGCAATTCTGCACCAGACTGCGACATGCCTTCTGTCACGCAAAATGGGCAAGTGTTCATGCGAACATGATCGAAGGCCATGATAATTCGTGAAACCCTCATTCTGGTCACTCCAGCTGCTATGTACGTACATGCAATCACAAATCAAGCTGTGAATGCAGCAGGTCTTCATAATTGCCATAAAGTCTGGGTATCAGCATTGACCTCCACTGGTATTGGCAGCATCGCAAACATATCATTCCAACTCATCATTCTCTCGTCAAGAGTTTATCATCGTTGCTTCGCTCTTCTATGCAAAATGGGTTCGAACATCATTGTTCCATACCAGTATTTGCCTCTGCGGAGCCCGGACTCGATTCGCATCGTCGTCCTCGACCCGGCTGCGGATACCCAGTCTCCTCTGCAATGCTCCTTAGCTCAATATGACAAAGCGGAGCAGATGAAGAATTTCGGCACAGAAAAGGATTTTGAGGCCGTCTCATACACCTGGGGAGACGCACCACCGTCTTGTCAATTGCTTATTGATGGTGCATTTTCTTTCGACATCAGCCCGACAGTCGATTCACTCTTGAGAGCTCTGCGACATCCGTCCACAACCAGATCTCTTTGGATAGATGCCATTTGCCTCAACCAGCAAGATACTGGCGAGAAAGCGCAACAACTTCCTCGCATGGGTCGGATCTACAAAGGAGCGAAAGAAGTCCACATATGGCTCGGTGACCCAGACGACAAGACAGCGGCTATCTTTTCTGCTATACGCATGATGCAAACCATCCCGGACACAAAACAAGTGAAAATAATGGCTGAAGCAACGTTGAAGATAACTAAGAGCCAAATTGGGGCCGATCACATCCTTCAACTCAAGCGTTTCCTTTCCCGGCCTTGGTTCTCGCGCCGTTGGATTATACAGGAGGCATGCCTAGCCAAAGAGGCCAAAGTCCACTGCGGAACATCCTCTCTAGGTCTGCCTTGGTTTGTCGCCGCTGCTCGCCAGTTGGAATGTGTCGAAGAGCTATACGGGTTCCAGTACCACTACCAGATCCTGATGATGAAGAGTCTGAGCGAAGAGCGGAAGCCGATCCTCCAGCTGCTCTGGAACTTCCACGCTGCCAAGTGTAGGGAGCCAGAAGATAGAATTGCTGCGTTGTTCGGTTTGATACCAGACCATGAGCAAATCATGGACCAGCAGAGTTATCTCGATCTTCGACAACACTGGACAGTTCTGTACCGAAGGCTCGCACTGGCGATGTTCCGGCGCGGCCAGAAGACTGCTTTGCAGATGCTCCTTCACTTGGCTGAGTTCGGGCCGCTCAATGAATCTGACGACTATTACCCGTCGTGGGTGCCGAATTGGACCAGAGAACGGCGTAGGAATCTTCCATTCTACAACATGAGCAGCAATGTCGATGCCTTTGACTATCCCGAGAAGCCTGGCTTTCCAGAGGTTGCTGTTGTCATGGACTTGGAGCGCGCCTCCACATTCGCCTTGCCACCTGTTAACCCCGTCGGAGACGAATGGGTTATTCAAGAGATCCCCGGGGCAACACCAAATTGGACAGACGACCGTACCACGCGGTTTTTGTTCAAACAGGACCGAATATTCATTCGCTGGTACGATTCCTCGGGTGGCCCCAGTGGCCGTACGGTCGATTATTTCATGTTCGCGGATGCACCCGACGAATATCCAAAGTCCTTCTGTCCGTTGCATAATCTCGCCGAACTCTGGCGCAAATTCTTCCCGTCTAGCTTCCCATATGCAGAAGGCGACTCGGAGAGGATTGAGACCATTGCGATGCTATTCCACACCATGTTACGCTTTCGCAACCCTTCCAAGACACCGCCTGAGGAGAGATTCATCCGAAATACCCTCAAGAATCTGAGCACGCTACAGCGACACAAACTCTCCTTGGACCAGGCCAAGCTCATAGACCAAATTTACACAATGATGGAAGAAAATGTCTTCTTCAGTCTAGAGCCACGGGATCTCCCGGAAGACCTCAGCCCTTCATTCAGGTCTCGAGGTGAATACGGCTTTGGTCCTCGCACGCTCTTCCCGGGGGATATCCTGATTCCGGTGTGGCGTCTGAAGGAGGATCCCGCAAGGCGTTCGTGCATCATGCGACACGACGAGACGGGACGACACATGGCCACTATGTTGGTATTGAGGATAGAGCGTGGACCTGAAGACACACGATATTCCCCTATACCTTTTTGTGCTCCGATTGACCCAGCTACTGGAGTCCCCAGGGAACCACCGCATATAAAGCGGATGAAGTATCCGAAACGGAGTCAGCCTTATCCTGTTGCAGGACCCAAAGAGTCAGCTCCAGAGAACGTGGCTGCACCTGATCAGCACAGAGTGGTCGGAAAGCCGGTCAGAAGAGGTCGTGTCGTTGGCATGGCGGTATGTGTTACGTCTGATGGGACGAAGCGATACGCTGAGCACGACATTCGTCTCGAAGGGGAAATGCATAAAGATTTGGATGTAGATCAGCCATGCCTCATTGAGTTGTACTAGGTGTTTTTCTAGAGCGCGATTCTTCTGGCCAACCTCACTCTTACATTGTGTTACATGCGTCACAACGCACTACTACATGTAAACATGTAATATAAGTCTACTAGGTGATTAAGTATGTGCAGCGCGTGCATTCTAGAATGAGGGAGTCAGATACCCACTTTATCCAGGTCGAAATGAACTCATTGCCTGACAGATGCCATAATCATCTTTTCTTGCAGTCATGAGAAGTGATCAGTCGATAAGAAACCCATCGAAAATTGTGACAATAGCTTCGAAACCACCTAACATTGCCTTACTATGAGGGGATGTAAACTTGTCTTACTGAGAAAATCGCTTTGTCTTCCGATGGCCCGATATGCAGATCTCGTAGATCTCGAAACTTGCAGACACTCTTGCATCGAGAGGCCGTCAGGTGCATTCCCTTAGCTGAACCGCTATGCAGCTGGAAGAATCTGTCGACTAGACGAGGTCTTAGCCTCTTATCTAAAGAGGCGCCAGACAACTAGCGGTTGATGATTTGAAAAACACCACCCGGAGCCGCAACGGGGCGGCAATGCGGAACCGCAACGCCGCAACGCGGAAATGTGCTTTACGGACTTAGCTTCCTTTGCCCCGGATTTCTCATGCATGATCCCGCGCCTTTCCCCGCACTTAACTACCACCGACGATGATGTGCAAACCAAAAGGCACCCGGAACGATGGCCCTTTGACTCTTTGGCTGCTGGCATCGTGGGATGAACGATTCAAGCATGTGTGAAGTCTTTCGAGAGAGATGTAGATCAAATCAGATCATTTCAGATGGCAGTATGCATTCCATCCAATGCCCAAACCTTTGGGTCTCTACCAAAGCTTGGAGCAACCTCGCATAGTCTCTAGATCTTGGGGGACCAACCATCCCTTACCAACCCTGCGACCTCAAGTGCGGAGAAGCTCCGTCTTAGTTGACAGCAAGCTGCGTCAACGCCCCTCAGTCTGGGGTTATTCGAGCCGCCGGCGGGTCCAAACAGCCCGTATCAAGGCAGAGTTCAAGCTAATCCATCCAAGCAGAGCGCGTCCAACTTGGCAGAAATATCCTGAAGCTCTATGATTTGCCCGCTGGATCAGCCTTGAATCCCCCAGTTGCCCCGTTCCCCCGCATTCGAGGAAGCCGGTTGCGCGCTATCGTCTGCAACTGAGAGACAATGTGCGGCCCTTGGCGCCTCTAAACTCCACAAAACCGCTACGGATGGGAAAACTGTTGAGAGCTAAGGCGGCACAGCAGGACGCCATTACTTCGTGGACTGTGTGCGACAGAGTTTCATTTCTTTGCCCGATCTATCCCCGGAGGACCCCCTCAAAATGCGTTGTCGCGTCAAAAGCTGTCAGGTGATGTCACGACTCAGCCCTCCGGTGCGGAGGAAGGGAAGCTGTCACTGGGGATGAAGATCTCTCGTCCTGCATAAAGTCTCCTTTGCGACCCTCCTTTGAAGGCATTCCCACACCAATCCTTCCCAGAAGCATCTGCAGGCAGACCATCGAATACTACAACACCACCTTCGACCAAATACCTC